ATATCATGGGCGGCTGCCAGATCAGCTTCACGGTAAAGGCCCGGGAAATATGAGGGTCACAGGCAAGAGGTGGGGGCTAAACACATAATGACCAGACGAGCCCCAAATCCCCCTGCCCCTCCCAGGGCCTCTCATGAGCCTCAGCATTGTCATTTTGTACCCCTTACCCCACTCCATGATGAGGCTACTTGTGGGCTTGACTGGATTTAATTAATTTTTTTAAATCACAGACAGAGATCACAAGTCAGACAGAGATCACAAGTAGGCAGAGAGGCAGGCAGAGAGAGAGGGGGAAGCAGGCCCCCCACTGAGCAGAGAGCCCGATGTGGGGCTCGATGTGGGGCTCGATCCCAGGACCCTGGGATCATGACCTGAGCCAAAGGCAGAGGCTTTAACCCACTGAGCCACCCAGGCACCCCATTGACTAGATTTAATTTAGTCCTCCCTATAGATCCTAGCTCTGAGCCAATCCTCAGTGAACTCTCACGGATGCAGTGTGACCCTGTCCCCACGTCCACTAGGTGGCCATCGACTTCACCGCCTCCAATGGGGACCCAAGGAGCAGCCAGTCCCTACACTGCCTCAGTCCCCGCCAGCCCAACCACTACCTGCAGGCCCTGCGCGCAGTGGGCGGCATCTGCCAGGACTACGACAGGTGGGAGGCGGGTAGGCTAGGGAGGAGGGAACGGGTAGGGAGGCCTTGCCGGATGGGCCCCACAGCCTTCTCTTCTCCCCAGTGATAAGCGGTTTCCAGCATTTGGCTTTGGCGCTCGAATCCCCCCCAACTTTGAGGTAGGCTGGGATTGAGAGGAAGGGAGGATTTGGTGGGAGAGTAGGCAGAAAACCATCTTCTAGCTGCACTGGCCTTATTCTCACAGGTGTCCCATGACTTTGCTATCAACTTTGACCCGGAAAACCCTGAATGTGAAGGTAAGAGGGCAGATTTTTGCCAGCCCCACCCCACCCCCATACGGCTTGCGCAGCTTGTACAACCCCATGCAGGGGCACAGGCTCCATCCTCATGGGCCCAGCCCCCTGGCCCATCTCACCACTCAGCTCTTGTCTATCTGGCACTCCAGGCCCCTGGCCCAGCATCAGACCAGCCAACTCTCCTGCTTAGTAAGGAACTTAGGGGGCCAGGCAGTCCTGAGACAAGCAAGGACCTTCTTGCTTAAAGGGTGTCCAAAAGGGCTCCCTGCTAATTTCTGCTGGCCTCACCCCCTCACCTACAGAGATCTCCGGGGTCATCGCCTCCTACCGCCGGTGCCTACCCCAGATTCAACTCTACGGCCCCACCAACGTGGCCCCTATCATTAACCGCGTGGCCGGGCCAGCTCAGCGCGAGCAGAGCACCGGCCAAGCCACGGTGAGGAGGCGAAGCAGGCAACCAGGCTCTGCCCCACTGGGTGTCCTCCGGTGGAGCCGGGGCCAGGGCCTGGACTTGGGGTGGGTGCCAGCGCCCTTGCACACAGAGCCTACCCTTCCTCCCCTCCGCCTGCCCTCTGCCCTCAGAAATACTCCGTGCTGCTGGTGCTCACGGACGGCGTGGTGAGCGACATGGCCGAGACCCGCGCAGCCATCGTGCGCGCCTCCCGCCTGCCCATGTCCATCATCATCGTAGGGGTGGGCAATGCCGACTTCTCCGACATGCGGCTACTGGATGGCGACGACGGTCCCTTGCGCTGCCCCCGAGGGGTGCCCGCGGCCCGCGACATCGTCCAGTTCGTGCCCTTTCGGGACTTCAAGGATGTGAGTGCCCGGCGCCCCCTCCCGGTCGTAGGACTCCTCAGCTCCTCAAGCCCTCAAATCAGACCCTTCTCTCCCACACCGGATTGATGGCCTGCGAAGGACGCTGGAGCCCAGCGGGCCGCCCTCAGGGCTCGTCCTCTTGCCTGGGCTCGTCCTCTTGCCTGACCCCGCCCCCACCCTCCGGGCCTGCTAAACCCGTCCTCGCCCCATCCCCAGGCCGCACCTTCTGCGCTTGCCAAGTGCGTCCTGGCTGAGGTGCCCAGGCAGGTGGTGGAGTACTACGCCAGCCAGGGCATCAGCCCCGGGGCTCCCAGGCCCTGCACACCGGCCCCGACCCCCAGCCCTAGCCCGTGACTGCCTCCCACCGGACCAACGCTCCCTCAGCCTCTCAGTGAGTCCCGGGGGCCCAAAGCGGTGGCGGGGGGTGCAAGGTGGGACTTGGTGGAGCACATCCGGGCTCCGTGTGGTGGTGTAGGGGACAGTGCTAATGACTATCCCGCCCTGTCCCAGGTGCCTGTCCTGACCCTTGTGACTCAAGTGACCAGTGCCTCTCCCTCTTGGACCAGCTGTGACCCCTAGGTCCTGGAAGTGCGTGGTGAGCCCTGCTCTTTCTCTCCAGGCCCCATAACCCTCAGCCTTGTGATTTTCTTCAGTGATCCTGACTTTCTGATCATTAATAAAGGGAACCACTCCTAGCACTTTAGTCTCTATCTATTATGCCCCAGATGCCCATGAACGGTCCATAATGCCCACCCATCCACACACACCATTAAGAAATGAGGACCAGCACCTTTCATATCTGAGCCAGAGCTCCCACAAAGCCTGGGATCTCAGCGGTTTCACCCTAGCTGTGTGCCAGTGGGATCCGAGGAGCCCATCTACCCTCACCTCCCAACCTCAGGGGGCCCAGCACCATGGAGGTTAATTACCAGAGATGGGGGGTGGTAATGAGGGACTGTCAAGGGGGCAGGTTGATCCCCTCTTACAGCTGTCTCTAGAGAAGCCCAGCTGAGTCCCTCAGGAGCTTCACTCCAGCCCCCACACAGCTGTGGGGCAGGCCAAGCAGGGGTGTTGGGGGGACAGAGGGAGGGCAGCAGGTCTGTGAGTGGATTATGAACACAGAGGGGGCATCTGAGGTCTGTGTAGCCTGGTTTTCCTGGGTGTGTAAATGTGTGTGTGTGTTCATGCATTATCCCTACCTCTCCACGAGTGTGGCCTTCGTGTTTCAGAAAGCCAGGCTGTGTACCCTTAATAACATTAACAACAACAGTGAACGTTATTGTTTGGCATGTGTGAAACTTTGTGCAACATGCTTTAAGTGCATTCACGCTCACTCGGTAGTTAGCATCACTTTCCCCATTTTTCTTCAAACCAAGGGAGGTTTCATTTAAATCCACCCATCAGCAAAGAACTGGTGAGCCTGGAATTGAGCCCAGACCCATCTGACTGAAGTGCCTACACTCTTAATCACGGGTGTGCAACTTCTTTGTGAGCCTCATCTTGAGCCCCAGGTGTATGGATATGTGGGCTGATTATGCATATGGGGGTGGGTGCCTGCGGATGGCTTCTCTGTCTGTGTGTGTGCTGTGCAAGGCCTCAGCCAGTTAAGGAAGGTGTGCAAAAGCAAAACTGGGACTGGACTGATGCTCCAGAGAGGGTGAGAACACAGGTGATATCCGGAGCAAGGGAAGAAACAACGAATCCTGGAAGGACCCTCTCTGCCCCAGCCTCTCCCTTCAATGATATGTGTGGAAGGAAACGAAGGAGGAGAGGACAAAGGTGTTGTGAGCCACTCAGGAGAGAGAAGCCAGAGCCAGAGAGGGTGGCCAGTGGCCAGTGTTGGAAAAGGAGAGAGAAAGAGAAAGAAAAAGAAATCCTGGGGGAGATGGAGGAGATATTGCAGGCTCCTGAGTGGAAGAGGGAAGAGCTGGGCTGGAGGAGGGGGAGGAGGGAACAAGAACTGTGATGAGAAAAGACAGCTGGGGAGGGGGTGGATAGAGGGGGCAGAAAGGAAGAGAGACATATGGGAGCCTCTTCCCCACCCTCAACTGCTTCTTCCTATTTATTATGTCCCTTAGGGGACCTATGACAGTGGCTGGTGAGGTAGCTGCTCCCAGTTCAATGCCTCTGCTCTGCCCAGAGCGCTCCCCCCGCCCCACCCCCCACTCTCTCTGTAGGCAGATGAACCAGAGGGCTGGGTAACCATGGCAACTATGGGACCTCAGGATAGCCATAGGCAGGCCTAGCCCAGTCACTGATGCTCCTGGGCTTCTGTGCAGTGCTGGTAGGAGGAGGAGGCTCCATCTGGCCCAATCCGCACCCTTCTACCCCATTTTCACTGGGCCTCCAGAACTGAGACTCAACACACACACACACACACACACACACACACACACACACACACACGAGGAGCAAGGCTAAAGAATGAACACTTCTTAAATGGTAAGAACATTTAGCCAATAGTATAAAGTTCTGCCTGAACTTCAAGTTTAATTCACAAAAATCTCATTCTTTCAGCATCTTGTCATACTGAGTAAAATCTCACCTCAGCCCTCAGCAAGGCAGGAGGTAGCAAGGGTACCCTACACAGGTCTGGAGGCCAAGGCAGCCTGGAGGGAGCAACAGAGGACCGGTGTGTGGGCTCCTCCACTGACCAGGCTGCAATCAGCAAGCAGGAGCAGGACAGGAAGTCCCTTTGGTGAGGTTGTCCTGGGGGCTTCTTGGGGAGAATCTTGGGGCCCCACACCAAGGAGATGCCAAAACTGTAAAGGTGTCAGAAGTCATCCAGCCCAAGATTGGGGTAGGTAACAAAAACCAGGGAAGCAAGTGGTTTTCTCAAGGTGACAGAGGTATCCCATGGCAGAGCTGGGACTGGCACCCAGGTCCCCAGACTCGTGCCCAGAGGTCTCTCCCAGCCCACACCAACCACTCCCAGAGCTCCTCAGGCGTTTGCTGCTCTGGGCCCTGGAGGCCACCGGGCTGGGTAGGAAGAAAGCTTCTTGGATAGAGTTCTTAGTCTTGTCTTGCTGTTGGTAACTGAAATCTTGAGAAAATGCAGTCATCCTAAAATGCGGAGTTTACAAGCCTTGGAATGAAAACATGGCTTCATTGCTAATTACCACCTTAATGCACTACAGGTTGAAAACCTTGAATTAAAATCTAAACTGAGGGGGAGTCACACCACTCCCTCGCCTCCCATTCACTGTCACCCAGCTATCAACCACGCCTCCCCACCCTCCCCCTCACACACAGTGCCCTGCACTGGCTCCTCCAGATCGCAGCGTCCTGGTCACGTGGGGATGGAACGGGAAGTGGAGGGTGCTCTGGGCTGCCTGCGTGATTAGACTTCTCTCCCAGAAAATGACCAGCATCTAACCTCGGAGCATGCCCTGAGGGGCTAGGAAGTTCGGGGATATTTATGTATAGTCACACCACGTAGTGTCTGGCGCCAGAAGGCGCTCAGTAACCATCTAATGAACGGTACAGTGGCCTCCTGGGTGGTGCCCCCCACCCTCCTACGACACCACTCCGAGGCCCCTAGCTGCTCAGAGGAAGAAGTGGGCGTGGTCCCCGGCCCCAGGGCCGCTCGAGGTCAGCCGGTCACAGCGAGCCTTATAGAGGTCACGCTCCCTGGCCAGGCGGGCCACCTCGGCCCGCAGCGCGTCCAGCTGGGCGGCCAGGCGGGCGCGCTCGGCCTCTAGCCCGCGCCGCTGCTGCAGCCGCTTGGAGCGACAGGCCTGCGCGTAACCTCGGTTCTTCAGCGTGCGGCGCCTCTGCTTCAGCCGCAGGGCCTCGTCGCGCCCGCAGCCTCGCAGCTGCCGGTTGAGCTCCCGCACAGACATCGACACCAGCGCCGCGTCCGAAAACCGCTCCGCCAGCTGCAGAGCGAGAGGGCGGGGAGCGGGTCAGCGCGGGGCCCTGCCCAGCTCCAACCTAGGGTCGCCCGTGGGACTGCCCCGCCCCCGGGAAGCTCCGCCTTCGGCCCCCGCCTTACCGGATGCTCGCCGGCGCACCATATCCACCCCGCAGTCCAGACCCCGCCCCAGGTCCCGACAAGCCCCTCCTCCCTGGGGAACGCGCGCCTCTTTGTATCCGCCCTGCGCCGCAGGCCCCGCCTCCCACGGTCGGGCGAGCCAGTCGCACGTCTGGAGCCTGCGCCATTCCTGCGCGGTGCTTAGCGTTAGGTTCGAGGCACTTTTAGTGTCCAGTGGATACGCGCCCAGGCAGACCTCGCCTGCCAATGCACCTCTCTCCCCTGTCCTGAAGGCCGCAACCCTGTGACCCTCAAAGGATTTGGATTACATCCTAATGCCCTCAACACCCCCATCTGTGTCTATAATTAATAGGATGAGTCCCAATCCTTCCTGAGAAGATTGGGGGCTGGGGAAGCACGATGTTTGAAAAGGCCAACCTCATTCCCGTTCCCACAGTCTGAACTCCATTCCACACACAATTCTTTCCCAAGTTTCCACAGATGGGAGTATATTTACCTCCCCGTAAAGAACTGCTCCCCATTAATTCTCAGCTCTCCCCTTTTGGTACTCTTCTATCCTTCTCCCTCTTCTGGTTGGGACTACTCATTTCTCTCCATTTGGAAAAAGGGGAGGGGGCAGAAGGTAGTTTTCTCTACCTGATTTTCTTTCAAGGGCTCTTCCGTTCTCCTGCCTTCTGTCTCTTCCCCAATCCATAACTCTGTCCAGGAATTCTTCCCCTCTTGAGCTGTCCTCCCTCACCCTGCCACCCCTCAGACCAACACACTGATCACTCACCTGGGCATGTTGGGCCCCTGTCTCCTCTGGGCTCCCTGGGTAGTAGCTGTGGGGCCCCTCCATAGGGACTGGACCTTGACCCTGCAGCAGCTCCAGGGCCTCCTCAGGACTCAGCCCCAGTGCCTCCCCAGCTCCCAGCTGCTGCTGCAACGTGGCCAGCCAGTACAGCTCCTCCAGGCCTGGCCTCGGGCCCTCCGTAGGCCCCACCATGCCTGGCTCACTGAAGGTGGGTGAAGGAGGCACTGAGCTGTAGGGTGTGGAGCCCAGTGAGGCTGTTGGGGGGCCAGATCGCCCCTCAGAGGGTTCCCGCTTTACCTCAAACTTCATCAAGTCAAAGTCATTGACATATTCCATAGCCAGGGGGCTGGGAGGCAGTGCCATCCTGGGGCTGGATTGGGAGGGGTGCACCTGCAAAAACAGAGGAGAGCTGGAGCCTGCCTGCCAGCCTCCTTCACTGGAACGTGCTTCTCCCAAGGCCCAAGTGCCCTGGAGAGCCAGAGTTCTGGAAAATCCTGGGTGATGGTGCAACACTGTTTCTTAAAAAGTCACCTCTGGGCTGGAACAACTTTTCAGGTGGCAGGGGGTACTGACTGGGGGCAGGCAGCTTAGAGGCATGACTGAGGAAGAGGACAGACAGCACGGCCCCTCGCCCCACTGGTGCTACCGCAAGCTATGAAGAACAAGAGGATCATGGCAGTGCTCCCAACTCTAGTGCTGGGGCACACTGAGAGGCTCTGTCATCTCAAGAGACATCATTCTATTTCCAAGCAATCAAAAAATTTTGCTTAAAAAAAAATTTGCTTAATTAACTGTGACAGAGTATATGTCTATTTTTGGACAACGGGAAGGCGTGTATGCCGTGAATTTTAATGTACAGAGATAATGCATTGTTATACCTCTCAAAACACCCTAGGTCGATGTCTTGCACACAGGAGGGCCTCAGTGCACATCTGTTCTATGGGTTAATCAATCAATTAACAATTAATCCCTTTTATAGGAGCATGAGATGTTCCAAAGAGAAAAGAAAGGTCCTAGAATTGGTTCTAGAAAGATCAGGACTGGGTGGTGACCGTTTTTCCCCAAGCCAATATCTCCAAAGGGAACCAACCAAAATTGGTTTCCTCCTTCTATTCAGAGCCTGCTATGTTGTGCAGACTTGGACAGATCACCTCCCCCATTCTGACCCCCATTTCCTGTTTCGTTCAATAAAGGCAGTTAGACTTTCCCATTTCCCAGAGTGTTCTGGGAAACCCTAAGTCTGAAAAATACCCAAGAAGAAGTTGATGCTCAGATAATTTTGAGAAATGCTGCCTCCCATCCCCATGTTCTGCAGATTCACAAGCATAGCAACATATTAATCTGAGAAATCCTTCCGTAAACCATCTGTTCAACCTCAACCCAGAGTGTCCCAAACTTATGTCAGCAAGGAGCTCTCTTCCCTGTTATCAACAACAGAGTGTGTACTCACCTGAGGAACATCAGGCTAGGTGACCTCAGAGATCCCTCCCAGCCTGGAATTCCCAAGCTAGAGCCCAGCTCCCAGTTCCAACAGCCCCACTGCCAGCCCCCAAAGGGGCAAGGCAGGGAGTGCTAATCCCTGGGGCTTGGCATATGGCTCCATCTTGACACCCCATGCCTAGATAGCCCCCTTTTTAATGACAGCTCAGACGATCAGGCTCTGCCCAGAGAGGTGGAAGGAAGGACGAGCGCTTCTCTCTTCCTGTCCCAAGGAAGGTCTTTGCCTTCTCTCTCGAGCCCCTCATCCTTGAGAGGACAGGGGCAGTAGAAACAAAGACACAGATTGAAGGAATGATCCCTGGCAGGGAGGAGATGGTGAAACACTGTCCAGAGAAAAGTGAATGAAGAGATAAGTGAGGAGGGTTAGTTATCAGCCTGCTGTGATAGCAGTGAGGGACATGAAGCCAGTCAGGGTGGGAGTGGGGCAGGGGACAGAAGTGTGAGGATTCTTGAAGGTAGACAACAGAGAGCAGACAGCAGGGGACGGAAGAGAAGGTTGTAGGTGAGAGGCCTGGCATGAAGGTAGGCCCTGAATATACTCACTTGGGGGATGGTAGAAATGATGTGTCAGTGTCAGGCAGGCACAGCTTCCCCAGAGACCGGAGACCCCATTGAATGGGGTCTGGTGCCTCCGTGCTCAGAACAAGGCGCTGTGGGCACCAAGTCCATGGGGATGCTCTTAAAGGGCCAGCGCTTTGAGGTCATCTGGGGTCCTCAGGCCTCCAGCCAATGAGGTAAGGAGATCATTTGCATATCTCATTGGCCTGGGGTGTTGGGGGGAATGAGAAGAGGGGAGAGGACAAGTAAGCCTGTTCTCAAGTAAGGAAGGGGGCATCTTCCCCAACAAAGCTCTTTCCTGATGACCGGTCTCGCAGACGCTCAGTTCCCCGGTACTGAGAGTGCTTTGGCCTGGCCAGCCACCCCCCTGTGAACACCACCCTCAACCCTCAGCGACTGAGAGCCTGGGACTGGAAAAGAGGCCCAGGGCAGCTCCCGGTGCCCTCACCCTCCAACACTCTACAGCACTTTGGCAGTGTTTGCGGGAGTCCAGGCAGTCCTGAACCCACTCTCACCTAGCCAGCTGGGTCTATTTCCTGTGTTCAGGAATCCTCACACTTCTGTCCCCTGCCTCACTCCCACTGTGAGGCCCCAAGTCCCTCACAGTTATCATATCGGAAAGACAGGCAACAGTCCCCTCAGTGAACGTCCAGGACTTGGCCACCCAATCCTCAGCCTCTCCCACTCTTGATGACCCAGTCCCAGGACAAGCAGCCCAGCTCAGGAGAAGGAGCAGCAGAAGGGAGAGTGGGGATCTCTGTTCCTTCCTTCCGGGCCACCTCGGGACACAGGAATCTAATCACCATCAATCCATCCGAGACACTTCTGCAACTGCCCTCACACGCCCTCTGCTTCCTCTCCCCTTTTCCCTGCGTGTATCTCTGTCCCTGTCTCTTCCTCTCTCACCATCCTGGTTCCCAGATGGCTGGGGGGTGACCTACATTTTCAGCCTAATCCCCTAACACCTCTTAGAGCTCTCATCCCTGAGTAGAAGTTGGAACAGGGATACTAGGAATTAGCTAAGGAGGTGTTTAAACCTGTCTGAAGCTGTTTAAAACAAGGTGTGGGCTAGAATAGAACCCTGGAGTTAAGGGCTATCCCCTACCTGCTAAGGATACCCAAATGTTCCCATGGGGTTAACAGGCCCCCTGTCCCAAGTCAGAGAGAGACCTGGGTGTCCATCAGCCCCGAGGATCATCAGTTATAAAAATTAACCTGGTCCCAGCTGGTGGATTCAGATGAGAACAGTAGTTTTTAAAGTGTGGTTCCCCCAACCAGCAGCAGCATCTGGGAACTTGCTAAAAATGCATATTCTCTGAGCTCACCTCAAACCCACTGAATCAGAAACTCTGGACATGGGACCCCCGAAATCTGTGTTTTAATAAGCCCTTGGGGGACTTTGATGAACACTGAAGTTTGAGAACCACTGGTCTACAGAATACCTGCAGTTAACGCAGCTTTCCCTGTGTGTGTGTGTGTGTGTGTGTGTGTGTGTGTGTGCGTTTGCGTGCACACCTGTGGTCTCTCTTACCATGCTCAGTACACACACAAAAAAAGACCTAGATCAGATGACATCACTCTCTTCCCACATTTGTCCTGCATTTCAAGGAGCAGAGAACCTTAGAGACCATTGTCAGGATTTAAGTAGTAAGGTTTCTCAGTGTAATTGCCTGGATCCACCTCTTTTTGCAGAACCAAGGCCTGGGAACAAGGCCACAGATGGGAATGGGGATCATGGAGACAGGGAATTGAACACACATCCACAGAATGTGGCTTTGAGGCACATAGCCAGGAAAAAGAGCCCAGAACTTCCTGAGTTGAAGAAAGAGTAGGAAGTGTTGAATGTAGCCCCTTTCTCCATGCCTGGCCTGGCCAGACACTTGCCCCCGAGCAGCTGTCAGATCTGTGCTGATCTTCTTGTTTACTGGAGGGCTCAAGGAGGGGTGGTTACTAAGCTGCTAACGGGCTAAAAGAGTCAGACTAAACAAGCTCAGGCAAACTGAGCCGCTCAGGGCTCAGACCAGGTGCCACTGAATAGGGAAAGGAGTCCGTTAGGGCAGTGAGGGTTGGGCCAGAGGAAAGGAGCAAGGGCACAGAGAGGAGAGGCAACCAGTGGGGCCCCAGGAGGTGATTAATGGGTCCTCTCGGTGGGGGTGTACCCAGAGCCTGGGAGATGCACACTGAGAGTGACTGACTCCAGGACTTCTGGGGACAGGGAAACAGGAGGGAAAATATGATGCCAGGCAGACTGCAGAAATGATGAAACAGAGGAAGGGAGGCAGGAAGGCTTAGCAGAGGGGGCAGTAGGTCTCCACCTGGGATGGAGGACAGAACAAGCTGGGGGTTCTCCAGGGATTTCTATTAGAGGAGTTGGAGGGATGCAGGCCCATGGAAGAGGCAGGCAAAGGGCTGTGGCAAACTAAAAAAGAAAGTCTTCTGGAGAGGACCAAGAAGGGAGTAAGGGGTAACAAGAGGGGGTGCTAGGAGCAAGGGACCAGAAAAGCAATGGCAGTAGAAGGAAGGGGCATAGGAAAGTTAAGACTGGGGACCAAGAGCTAGAAAGAAATAGAGAGGAACAGGCAGATAGGTGGTCAGGCCACAGAGGAGGCACAGCGGCCAAAGGACAAAAAAGGAGAAAGATATAAACAGAAGCATGTTGGACAATTGGGGGAAGAAGGCCAGGCAGGTGAAGGGCTGGGAGAATTGGGGCACGACATGAAGAGGGAGGAAAGGAGACACAGTCAGTAATCTGGGGTGCCATCACTACCTCCTCAGTCCTGCCCTCCAATTTTTGGAGCCCATTAGACCCTGTAAGCCCTGTAAGTTCTGGCTTTTGGTATCTAGATCTTCAGTAATGGATCCAAATCTTCAAACCTCTTCCAAATCTACCTGCTATATTCATTTGACAAGTGTTTATTAAGCACAAGGCACCATGCTAGGCATTAGGGACACCCCAGTAAATCAGACTAACACCAGCCCTCCCTTCATGGAGCGTACACACTGATGAAATATGGAAACATCAACTTACTGCCCATAGGCCCAGGCAAGAGTGGCCCCTGCCCTGGGCCCTGTGCTTTTGGAAGGCTTCATTCTGGCTGTGTCCCACCTCACGGGGTGAGGAATTCAGGCCTCCTCCACCCACGCCCAATCCCCTTCTGGACCACACTCCAGATACCCAGCAATTCCCTGTTCAAAGTTCCCCAAGCCCACTTCTAGGGCCCATACAGACCTCTCACCTGGGTTGGCCTTTGCAGGAGTGGACCACACTACTAGTACATTCACCCCTAGACACACAGGCTGGCCAATGGTGACTATTTGCAGGAGGTCTTAGACAGAAT